TACTGATGTCACATAGGATGTATGATAAGCTCAGGGGAATGCACATAGATGAAGGTGGCTCCAGAAGTCTGGGTAGTGATCACAAACGTATCAAGCTAAGTTTTGTAAGAGCAGTGAAAGTGGGAAGGAGACAAGATGAGCAACTACAGGAAAATTTTTATTCAGAAAGGCAAATTTAAATAGCCACTAAACAAATTGAGAAAGTAATCACGGAGGATAATAAGACAGTGTGGACATACATGAATCTAATTAGACTCTTTGAGCTAGAGAGCAGAAAGGGGGGTGGTATTGGGGCATTCATTCATAAAAGTACAGACTGGCAAAGGGTCAAGCAGGAGTGCAACGAACATTTATGGCCAAAAGGGAAAGTGGCAGGTCAAATGACACTCCTTGATTTCGTGTACTTGTGGACGAGAGCAAAGGCCAGAGAGGAAAACCAGGAAATGGTAGAGTGTATATCAAAGGACATTCAGGAGTTAGGAAGAGAGTGCGAGATAATTATACTAGGAGACATGAATGCACACATAGAAGATATAGATGGGTATACCGACCCGACAGGCAAAATGATCATGGATATGTGTGAAAGGCTTGATTTGATCATTTGCAACAGTACCGAGAAGTGTGAAGGGCAAATAACATGGAGGTAGGAAGGCTGCAGTCGACGATAGATTATGTACTGATGTCACATAGGATGTATGATAAGCTCAGGGGAATGCACATAGATGAAGGTGGCTCCAGAAGTCTGATGTTGAAAGAAAATGGGAAACCTTTCTAAGCTGTAGAAGGGCTGCATCCCTTCTGATCAATGAAAAGATTAGAAGAAAGGGAGCTCAGTGGCTGGCAGAAGTACATAAAAAAGATAGAAAGGCAGCTGTGAAATTTTGGAACCATCTAAACTCCCTAAGAAATGAGACGAGCCTAGAGCAGAGTTTTATAGCTACAGCCCAAGGTGCCAGGCTAGAAGGGGACGAAGCTTCTGAATATATAAGAGCAAGGGCGACAGAAAAATTTCAACAAAGAAGTACTTTATGCACCACTATAGACAAGGACGAATCAAGTGGTGCAATGGCTCCATTTTCACAACGAGAGTGGGAAAGGGCTGAGAAAAGGGTTCCTAGTAGTACATCAACAGGCCCAGATGGCATTCCAATTAGGCTGAAAAAGACATTAGGTCCGAAGTCTAAGCAGGCTTTGAGAGAGGCAGTGAGCAAAATAATAATCGATGGTGAAGTTCCCGATGGATGGAAACTTAGCAGAATGAGCATGATCTATAAAGGAAAGGGGGACAAAGCTGACATAAACAACTACCGTCCTATAACAGTGACATCAGTGGTCTAAAGGCTGGCGATGCAGATTATAAAGGAAAGACTGCAGGCATGGATAGAAGATGAGGGGGTGCTGGGGGAACTGCAGAATGGGTTTCGGAAACACAGGAGGTTGGAAGACAATCTGTTCTCACTGACGCAGTGCATCGAAATAGTAGAAAAGGAACACAGGCCCCTGTGGCTAGCATTCTTGGATATCAAGGGAGCGTACGATAGCGTTGTTCAAGAGGAATTGTGGGGAATACTGGACACACTAGGCGTGGAACATGTAGTAATCTTTTAAAGGGTATCTATAAAGGTAACAAGGTAGTTATAAAGTGGGAAAAACAGGTATCCAAGCCTGCAGAGGTAAAACGGGGGCTTAGGCAGGGGTGCCCCCTGTCACCCTTATTATTCATGATGCACCTACAAGGATTAGAGGCAAAATTAGAGGGAAGTGGGCTGGGCTTCAACCTCTCTTTAGTCAAACAAGGAAAACTTATTGATCAGGCACTACCAGCATTAATGTACGCAGATGATATAGTGCTAATGGCCAACAACAAGGAAGATTTGCAGAGATTGATGGACATCTGCGGTAATGAGGGAGATAGGTTAGATTTTAGATTCAGTAAGGAAAAATCAACAGTCATGATTTTCAATGACAACGAAGGTAGTGAGCTTAGGATACAGGACGTCACGCTAGAGATAACAGATAAATACAAATATCTGGGCGTATGGATAAGCAATGGGACCGAGTACCTGAGGGAACACGAAATATACGTGACGACTAAAGGTGACAGGAATGCAGCAGTGATGAAAAATAGGGCACTGTGGAATTACAATAGGTATGATGTTGTGAGAGGAATATGGAAAGGGGTCATGGTTCCTGGGCTGACGTTCGGCAATGCGGTCTTGTGCATGAGATCAGAAGTTCAAGCAAGATTAGAAATTAAGCAACGTGGAATAGGTAGGCTTGCTTTAGGAGCTCGCAGGAATACACCAAATCAGGGAGTACAAGGTGATATGGGATGGACATCATTTGAGGGCCGGGAAGCTAGCAGCAGGATAAAATTTGAGAAGCGATTGAGAGAAATGAAGGAGGAGGGTTGGGCTAGGAAGGTTTTCAGCTACTTGTACATGAAGAATGTCGATACAAAATGGAGGAAGCGAACCAGGAAGTTGACTGGTAAATACTTAGAAAACAGCAGGTGGCCAAACCAAAAAGAACTATCGATTAAGAAGAAAGTGAAGGAAACGGAGACTGAAATGTGGAAAATGGGCATGATGAAGAAGTCCGCACTAAAGGTCTATCGAACTTTTAAGCAGGAAATTGCCAAGGAAAAGATTTATGATAATACTCGGGGTAGTTCTCTACTGTTTGAGGCAAGGACGGGAGTACTGCGAACCAAGACATATCGTGCCAAATACGAAGGGGTAGACACAGTATGCAGTGCGTGTGAGGAGGAAGAAGAAACTGCCGAACACTTGATAATGTTCTGTAAAGGGCTTCACCCTATAGTTCAGGATGATGGCGCAGAGTTTTTCAAAGCACTGGGGTTTAGGGACCGGGAGGGCAAAATAGACTTTAAGCAAGTAGACTTAACTAGAAGGAGGTTATCTGATTGGTGGCGAAAGTCAAGGCACGAGTGAAAATGAAACTCTTCACTGCAAAGTACGAATCCTCAAACTCACTTTTTAAGGAAAAAATAAATAAATATAGTTTTGAGTTCATTAAGTATTACGGCTTGGTGGCGCTAGCCACCGCCCGATCTAAAGGGTACAGCCATATCCATCCATCCATCCATCCATGTGGGAGGCGGCCAGCGACAAACTCTCGTCTTCAGAAAACAGTGGTGCTTCGTCGGACGAATAGGAGCAGTTACAATGGTGGTTGAAGGGAGCTCCGACGAGCGGGGTGCAATGCGTCCAATTCGCAAATAAATGTGGTTCAACAGTTTTAGGGTTGTCTTTCTTTTTTTTCTTTTTCGGTAACCTGAACTTGGGGGGTCGACCTATATTCCCACTCGACCTATAGTCCGGTTTATACGGTAGTTAAGTTGGTGGACCATGGGAGGAGTTATCCGGAGGTCGCACGTACATTCCTTGCCCACGGCTAGTTATATTTTCATCGACTTTTCTTTCTCTGTATTTACTTTACATTTTTAATAACATATTCTGTCATCGGTAGTGTTGTCATTCTGTTCACAATATAAGTAAACCATTACTAAGGCTCGACAGTGACCTGGTGCTGACAGGCACTTTCACGTTTAAAAATACACATATAACCCATAAAGTGGACTGGGAAATAGCCGTCGTGGTAACTTAGTTGGTGGAGCATGGGATGCGTTAGTCGGAGATCGAACGTACGCTCCTTGCCCACAGCAAGTTAACTTTTTGTCCAGTTTTTTTTCTTCATAGCTAAATTATATTCACTACTATTATATATACTTTCTATACATTTACTACTTTTTATGTACTATACTTTATATATGCTATATTATATATACTTATATACACTTCCATTGGTAGTGCTGTCGTTTAGTTCACAATATAATTGAACAATTACTAAGGCTTGAGAGTGACCTGGTAATGACAGACACCTTCACGTTTAAAAATACACATATAACCCATAAAGTGGACGAGAAAATAGCCTCCGTGATAGCTTACTAGGTGGAGCATGTGATGCTTTATTCGGAGGTCGCACGTACAGTCCTTGCCCACGGCAAGTTGTCTTTTTGTGCACTTTTCTTTCTTTGTATCTACATTGCATTTACTACTAACATATGCTTTCATTAGTAGTGTTGTCAGTTAGTTCACTATAAATAAACAATTACTGAGGCTCGACAGCGAGCGCTGTCGAAAGTGGGGTGCCGAGACCTTCAACATTTCTCAGTGCCCAACCACCTAGCAGGTACGCCTATGGTGTAGCAATTAAAGACACCACTATCAGCGGCAGCATCTAAATACAGAGTGTAAATTGGCCCTTGTTTTGATTTCAGTACAGCTTCCACAAATATGTTAAGGGTATCAGCTACCATCACTGTCACCAGAGTCATGGCAGAGAGCACAGATCGGGTGCTTAGCAATGGCAATAAGTGGGTGGCAGCGACGAATAACACCGAAGTTGACTCCTTTGCTGGATCCTAAATAGTGACATTGAGTGACCTTAACCGACATTAGGGGTGGCCATACTTTATAGATGATGATAGTCTGTGAGAGGGGCCGGTGTTTTAGAAATTTTTTTGTTTCTATTTTTCTAATCTCGTCTGATAGCGGTTATGAACACTGGTGTAGGTGAACAACTACCTCTGTGACTTCTATTGTGATGTGATAACTCTCCCTGTAAAATAAATCCTTTGGCGATTGCTTGGCACAGAATGGTGAATTACAATTCAGCCTAGCTTTGATGTAACAATGTAAATTGCTGATTTCAACGATTTGGTATATAGAGTATTAACTATAGCCGAGAAAAAAATGCAGTGGTTCACAAAACAAATGAGTGTTTTCTTTATTCAGTGAAATATATGTACACAAAATGACAAACACCAACCAACTAATTGGAAAAGGAGCCTGCTTTTCCGGTGCTGACTTAGTGGGAGGAAAGAATCAGTAACGCTTGATGGCACCACGTCCGAGGTGGCCAAGCGGCGGCCGCCCGTAGCTGGTCGGAATGGGTGCCGTGGGGCCAAGGCTGCTCTTGCGGTACTCATTCGACATGCTGCCCCCAGCAACACCGCCACCGCTCATGGTGCTCGGGATGCCACCAAAAGCACCGTTGCCTGCTGTGCCAAATGTGCTGCTAGCTGGCGCTCCGGTTTGAGAGTAAACACCCTGCAATCGAAAGTACCACTCATCACTACAGAAGCCTAGAGAAAGTGTGCGAAATGTCATTTTAGAAGATTCTGAAAGTGCAAGGAGAAAAAAAATCGAAAAAGCTTTCATTCTAAAAGCCGAAAATGAATGTCAATAAACTAGAATATATCACTGCGAATATGGCAAAAGAACATTCGATAAATGCGAATTCTGGCTTTCAGTGCTTTTGTAGTGAAGAGGAATGACCACTACCGCAGCGACAACGACACGTGGGCGCGAGCTAGGACTGGCTGGTTGCTACTGCGACGACGCCCGTATACTCGGCCAGCTTTTGCTGCTTCTGTCCCGACGCTGCTACCGCTTTTCGCCTTGCATTTACATTACATTTGGTGGAGGCTGCTGCAGTTTTCCGCAACCCTGAAATTGTGTAGTCAAAAGCTACCGTCCGTCATGCCTGACGACGCTGTCTTTACACCCCCCTGAGCTTCGCCGGCCAGGGGCTGTCCCGGTGCCCAGCTCCTGCGAGAATTCGACATCCTCAGTGGCACAGACTAGAAAGACGTTGAGGATTGGCTGGAATCCTATGAACGAGCTAGCGCTACCAAGCCATGAAACTCGGTACCGTGATGTTTTATTTAACGGGTGTCGCCAAGCTGTGGTACAGAAACCACGAGGCGGACATTCCTACTTGGACGAGCTTCAATCAGACCTCATGACTAATCAAGACCTGCATCGCAGCTGTTTTTGGACGCCCTGGGGTGCGCAAACTTCACGCAGAACAACGCCTAGGAAGCCGGTCCCAACAAACTGGTAAGACATTCACCAGCTACATCGAGGACATCCTCGACCTCTGCCGGCGTGGTGACCCAACAATGGTGGAAACTGACAAGGTACGACACAATATAAAAGGCATTTCTGACAAGGCCTTTCAGGTGCTCCTCTTGAAAAACCCTGCCAGTGTCTTGGAGCTCATCGAGCTGTGCCAGAGTTTCGACGAGCTACGATAACAGCGTCTTCTCACGCGACGCCCTAACGTCCCGGATGACACCCTCTCAAGCCTGACAAGCATCATCAGTCGCTGCTATGGTAGACCAAGGAGTTTGTTCGTGCTGAGGTAGCTCGTCAGCTATCACTGCTATCAACAGCCGGCCAACCACCATCACATCTGCCTGCAAACATTCGTGAGGTCATCCAGGAGCAAGTTTGCATGGCTCTGCCATCTGCCCGCGACACTTCGCCATTGCCAACCCCTGTGGCCTGTGCCGAGGTGAATGCACCTCTAAGCTATGCTGAGGTTACTGCAAGGCCACTTCTTCCGACGTTTAGGTCACTACTATCAGCCGTGCCCATTCCTCGTTTCGCTCAGCCAAGGTCCCTCCAGAGTAGTGGACAATGATGTACACCCGACAATCAGCCAATATGCTTTGCCTGTGGCCTGCCTGGCCACATAGGGCGATACTGCCGTTGATTGATTGATTGATTTGTGGGGTTTAACGTCCCAAAACCACGATATGATTATGAGAGACGCCGTAGTGGAGGGCTCCGGAAATTTTGACCACCTGGGGTTCTTTAACGTGCACCCAAATCTGAGCACACGGGCCTACAACATTTCCGCCTCCATGCGATACTGCCGTTGGCATGTCCCTGCCTATCACCAGAACTACCACCAGAGCTTCAAACCTGCCTCTTACAGCCATCGCGCCCTTCGTTCGCAGGCTCTCAACACCCCGACCAGATTTCATTGTACGCCGAACACAACCCTCCTGTTAACCGCTGCTCGCTATCACCTCGACGTCGCTCGCCATCGCCGACGCGTGGTCGTCCTTCACGGTTAGAGCGGGAAAACTAATTGCCGCAGTTCCAGAGGCAGGAACTGCGTCACCCGCAAAAAGACCAAGGCCTCTCTCTTCACCGATGAATGTTCTGGATGTATACGTGGACAGCATCGCTGCACTCGCTCTTGTTGACACTGGTGACGCAGTTTCAGTGATGAGTGCCACACTCTGCCGATTGCTCAAAAAGTTATGACGCCACTAGCAAGTATATCGCTTCGTATAGCAAAGTGCAGAGCACCTCACGCCGGCCCCTGCCTGTACTGCTCTCATTGCGATTGACAGCCTCATCTATGTCGTCGAATTTCTAGTGTTGGATTCCTGCTCCCATGACCTCATCTTGGGTTGGGACTTTCTGTCCGCAAATAAGGCCGTCATCGACTGCTCTCGCACTGAGGTGGCATTTGAAAGGTTTAGCGACGCTCCCTAATATGACGCTCTTGAAACCGGGGACAAACTATTTGTTGCTGAAGGCTTTACCATATAGCCACAATCTTTCGCCCTTGCCGTGGTGTCTTGCAACGCGCTAGCCAAGTCGAGTGCCCTTTTCACGCCATCTGCCATTTCCGTTCGTCGCAAGTGTTCGCCACTATCTCATGCCTTTTTGGAACTTCATGACAGCGTCAGCAGACTGCGCATCTCAAATCTGCTGCCGTGTCCTGTAATGCTACTTAGTGGCGAGTGCGTCGGCGGTGTTTACAGCTCGACTCTTCTGCAATTATCGACATGCCGACTGGTTCTTTCGCCGAATACGAATTCGCTGGATTGACCTGTGCCTCTTCATCGCAGACTACTATACCTGGCATACTGAGTGGCTCCATCGCCGACAGGTTAACCGTTTCGCAACTTGCTCAGCTTCTTCGACTCCTGAACAAGTTCCGTTCTTCCTTCGACTGCCAGCATAGTCCCCTCGGCCGCACATCAGCTCTGTGTCAACGCATCGACATGGGCACCAATGCACCACTGCGTCAAAGGCCCTATCGCGCGTCCGCGACAAAGCGCCAGGTTAGCGGTGACCAAGTAACTGACATGCTCAAGCGTGGCGTCATCCAGCCTTCGAATAGCCCCTGGGCATCTCCAGTCGTTCTAGTTAAGAAGGAGGACGGGTCAATTCGCTTCTGTGTTGACTACCATTGTCTTAACAAAATAACTCGAGAGGACGTTTACCCCTTACCGAGAATCGATGATGCCCTTGACAGCCTCCAAGGTGCGGAGTTCTTTTCTTCTATTGACTTACGGAGCGGCTACTGGCAAGTCCCTATGGCGCCTGAAGATCAGCCTAAAACGGCCTTTGTCACACTTGATGGCCTTTACGAATTCCGCGTCATGCCTTTTGGTCTTTGCAACACACCCACAACACTCGAGCGGATGATGGACAATCTTTTGCGTGGCCTGAAGTGGAAAACATGCCTGTGATACTTAGATGACGTGGTTATAATTTCGCCAGATTTTTCGTACGCATCTCCGCAGGCTAGATGAAGTACTACAGTGCCTAACTGACAACGGCCTTCAGCTCAACATAAAAAAATGCCGCTTCGGTGCAAGTCAGCTCACGATCCTCGGCCATGTTGTCTGTAAAGAGCGTATTCCTCCCGACACCGACAAGCTTCAGGCAGTTGCAGAGTTCCCTAAACCTGCATCTCCAAAGCATCTGTGCAGCTTCCCTGACCTCTGCTCGTATTTCCGCCGCTTCATTCGGAATTTCATGATGATCACCGCCCTCTTGACTGAACTTTTACAGAATGACACGAAAAGTTACGCTTGGTCATCCGCCTGTGATGATGCATTCAAAAAGTTGCACCACGCTGTTAACCTCACCGCCAATCTTGCGTCACTTTGACCCTACCGCTCCAATTGAGGTACATACCGATGCCAGCGGTGTCGGACTTGGCGCCGTGCTCGCGCAGCGCTAATCGGGATTTCAGGAGTACGAAGTCGCATACGCAAGCTGTACCCTCAACAAATTGGAGAAGAATTATTCTGTGACAGAGAAGGAATGTCTGGCAATTATTTGGGCTTTAGGTAAATTCAGACTGTACCTATACGGTAAACCTTCCGATGTAGTCACCGATCACCATGCTCTTTGTTGGTTATCCACGTTGAAGGAACCCTCCGGCCGTTTAGCTCGCTGGGCTTTGCGGTTGCAAGAGTTTGAGATGCGTGTTGTCTACAGGTCTGGCCGACATCACACTAATGCCGACGCCCTATTGCGTTCACATGTATCATGAGAAGGCTCTTCCTGTCTGTCTGCCATGGACGAAACGGTCGGATTCCAGCAAACTGCGGCATGGCGTCTGAGCAACGTAAGGGTGACTGGATCAACGCTCATCTGCGATTCCTTTCAGACCCATCGACCTCTCCATCTTCTCGAGCATCACACCGTCAAGCGGTTCACCTAAAAGATCCACGATGGCCTCCTTAATCGCAGGAATTACAAGTCTGACGGCTGAAAGGCGACTACGGGCTTTTCGCCATTTTCCCTGTTATATGGCCGAGACCATTCCACCACACTAGATACCATTCTGCCCTCCCACTCAGATTCCTCCGAGTCTATGCCGGAACATTTGTTTAGTGATTCCCCAGAACCTACAGCATAATGTTTCCTTCCATAGAATTGTATATAAAAAAAAGAAAAAACTTGTTCTTTAACTCTGAATAGTTAGGCCTCAGCAGCTATGTGTGCGCAAGCTGCTCAATGCAGTTTCTTTTGCTGGCAGAGCAGCTGCTGAACTGTGCCTTGACAAGTATATCGATCTAACAATGAGCATGCGCGCTCGCTATTACAGGGGCCCAGGAACACTTTTTGAGCACGGTCCGAAAACGCTGGCGATCGGTAGTAGAAGCTCCCGAGAATACGCAAGCCAAACGTAATAGCGCAGCAGGTGGCCTAGAACTCACAATAAAATCTCAAAATGACTCGTAGAATGCCTATCTATTAGTCATTGGCGCGCTCAGTCTTTACAGAGATCGCCATAGAAGGCTGCCACTTGTCGACACATGCGCGCACGATCGTATTGAAAAAGCCGCGTATTAAAAAAAAAAGTGCTCATCGTCATGAGTCACGTGTGACGTTTCTCCCACTCTTCCCTGCTAAGCTTCCATCGCTTTCATCGGGATGAGAGATGAGAGAATGTGATTGCAGCGTGTGACAAATCTTTGTTAAGTCCACTCGTACTATACAGAATC